CAATTAAAGGAAAGATGTGGTTTTGTTTTTGTGGGGGGGGGGGGGGGGGGGGGGGGTAAATAAGAATACTTGATTACTTATAATTATTACAAACATGTATGATTGCATTATTACTATATACTGAACAATAAAATGAGCAGTGGATGAAAGAAAAAAAACATAAAGCAAGATAATACGTCATACAGTAGTGCTTCTATACGTGTTGATGAAAGAAATAAAAAAATTTATAATAGTAATACATGCTTAATGCTTTTTGTCTTGTTACATTGAGTTAATGGATTGGGAGGATGAACTGTTGTAGGATGAGCTTCTGGTATCTCACTGCAAAGCATCATGGATCAGTAGTTTGTCTTGCTGTGCCCTCTCCTCCGGTCTCACTGCAGGCAATTCTTCACTTTAAAAATAGGGTCTCCACCACACAAAGAAAATGCTACATAATGAACCGTGTCCTCTAATTACATTTTCAAATACCTTTGCTCTCGGCAGATTATTTGACATTATGCAATAGACAAAACTCAAGGCATTTATGCCCCTTCTTAATGTGGAATTTGATGTGATTATTTACTGTCCAAATGATTTGCTTGTGCACTGTTTTTGATTGGGGAAAAAAAACTGAATTTGAATGAATTGAAGAACAAAGTTAATAAGGAATATGAGTATAGGATTTCCTTTTGTGTATTTATTGCTTTTGTCTAGAGCTTGTAGTTAATGGAAGTACAGCTGCAAGAATAAGTTTGTGAACCTTTTGAAAATATCTGGATTTGTATATTGATTACTCTTAAATTGTGGTTGGACAATGCGCAACAACACCAAAACCACAGTTTTTCAAGGCTAGAAATGTCTTTAACAACTAGGAAGTCATAATTCAGCATTTTAGATCCCAGTGTTCCTTTTGTGTATTTATTGCTTTTGTCTAGAGCTTGTAGTTAATGGAAGTACAGCTGCAAGAATAAGTTTGTGAACCTTTTGAAAATATCTGGATTTGTATATTGATTACTCTTAAATTGTGGTTGGACAATGCGCAACAACACCAAAACCACAGTTTTTCAAGGCTAGAAATATCTTTAACAACTAGGAAGTCATAATTCAGCATTTTAGATCCCAGTGTTTTACATGAGAATGGGTTGAAACTTGGATCAAATCCTGCTGGGTATGGATGGTTAAATGTGTTTAATGATTGCAGGAAGAGACACTAAACAGCAAATGAGAACCTTAGAAGTTCTCATTTTGTGGCGGCGAAGGTACAGCTGCAGAGATGTGTCCAAACCTGCTGCTGGTGGGTCACTATCCTGCAGAATTACTAGTGATCCTGACCTGAATCCTGACTATCCTGACTAGCTGGTTCAGGTGTGTTTAACAAGGATGGGCTAAACAAAAGGTTTTCAAACAGCTCAAAGAACTCAGTTCTTTCTTAACTCTGTAAAATTACTGTAAGAAATAAATTCCAATTCTTTCCACTGTCATACAGTCAATAACAGAGCTTTTGCATAAGGATGTGAATTGGGATTATTTAAAGAAATGCTAGACTGTATTTAAGCATGACGGATGGTGTTGAATATGGTTACTTTTAATCTTAGCTTTTGATGCTTCTTCGGTAGGAGTTACAGCTCTTTTCTGTACATGTACAGTACACATTGCAATATGCAAATTGCAAGGGTTTGCACTAAATGATTTGAAACGTTGTGTGTGAGTGTGCAAGTTCCGATGACGCCATATGCAAATTCAAACTTGAGTCATGTTTTATGTTCAGACTGTAAATTTTTTTTGTAATTTTGACAGAAAAAGACTACATGTGTGAATGCTACAGTGACAACCTGTTAACTGTAAGATATCTTACTATGTTTTGTTTTCCTCCAGCTGCGCTCCATTTTCCGGGCTGCTCTCTTTAGGGTGCGAGTGTGCTCATTATACCACGGTGTCAGACTGTTTTCCTTAATCTTCCTTAAGCGTAAAGGAGCAACTGTATCTAAAATGCTAGAAAAGAGAGAGTCCATAGTTTCTGTTACATCATCAAGTTGTTCTGAGGTTTTGGATATGGTAAGGAATTGGGATAAATCAGGAAGATTACTTACAAAGCAGTCTTTTGTGGTAGAAGTGATGGTTCTACCATACTTGTAACAAGGAGTAACAGTGGAAAATACAATTTACAGTGAAAAACTGTAAAAGAAGAAGTCCCTGTGTGGCACATCATAAAATTTGATTATAATTTATTTAAATAGTTTTGTATCTTATCAGTATGTTCATTGGGGTGTTTTGCGTTGCATTTTATGTTATTCAGTTAAAGTTTATTGCAATATTTCAGTGTTATATGTGTTGCCCCGATGGTGTTTTAACCTTCTGCACTGTCTATTTAAAAGTATTGGCCTTATTTTACAATTAATTTTAATTTATCATGTGTCTTTACAACCTGTATCATTATGGTTTTTGCAAACCTAAAAAGCTAATAGGATAGCCAGGTAACCAAGTTCATTAAATTAATATGAACACATTTATTATTAATCAAATGCCTTATATGCTGAAAATATTTATTGTCTAGTCACATTTACAATCACATCAATATATTTATCAACATTTGACATCTACCTTACTAAGCAGTAATTAGTTTAATTAGGCAAAAGTCGTAGTTAATAAATAACGAGAATTGGAACTTAAAATAAAGTGTGACCATAGTTTGCATCCCTGGTGGGACAATTTAGCAATCTCTAATATTGGGGGGCACATCCTCTCCATATCCATTCACAGAACTGTATACACTTAATGAGTACTGTTTGTGACAATGTAAATAAAAGGATAACAATGTAAATATATGCACCCATTAAGGTATACATGAAAACAATGCCGAATGCACAGAGATGCCAAGAGGTTTGGGAAGTCAATAATGCATAGGTGTAAAAACTTAAACTCTTCAAACTGTGAGCTTTAGACTATGCAAATACAGCAAGTTCCAGACCAGAGTGACCATACTGTGGCGAACAGCCAATCATGGCACTGGAACTTGAAGGTGCCAAATTTGCAAGTTTTTGAGCACTAAGTGTTCAAGGCTGTTGAAATGGAATCCAACTCCTTTCTCTCTGTAACGTGTATATTCCTGTTTTAGTTTGGTTCTGTTTTTGTTCTGTGCTTGTGTCTGGTGACCTGGTTTTCAGTCTGTTTATTTGGTTGTTCATTATGTCTTATACCTGTGATTCATTTGGTTCTTGGTTTTTAAGCTCTACGTTTGGTTCTGTTTGGTCTGGTTGTTCTGTGTCCCGTGAGTCTTCAGTGCATTCAGTGTTTTGAGTTTTTTGTTTAATAAAGATATTCACTTCCTGCAATTAGATCCAGCCCCATTCATTCCACGATTGCAACCATGATTGTTGTGACAGAATAATGGACCAATTATGGATCGAGCGGCAGTGAAGATTCTCCTTCCCTCAAGGGATGTTCAAGGAGTACGTGGACTGGGTACTCCTGTAACGTGTATATTCCTGTTTTGGTTTTAATACCGTTTCTGTTCTATGCTTGTATGTATTGACCTAGTTTTCAGTATGCTTACTTGGTTCTTAGTATTTAAGCTCTGCGTTTGGTTTTATTCATTGGTTTGTTATCATCATGTTTTACCCGGTTGTTCTGTATCCTGTAAGTTTTGTCAAATCACTTAAAGTATCAGATGACCCCTCCTCCTCAGGACACCAGCTAAGGATAAAATTTATCATAAAATTCAAGGCATTGATGTTTGCCTACAAAACCACTACTGATTTGCACCCTTTTACCTAAATTCACTACTTCATAATTATGTGCCCTCTAAAAGCTTGCGTTCTGCAAGTGAACGGCGTATTATAGTGCCATCCCAAAGAGGCACAAAATCACTTTCACAGACTTTTACATTAACTGTTCCCTCCTGGTGCAATGACCTGCCCAACTCAATCCGAGCAAGAGTAGACTGTTAGGGTAGGTTTAGGGTTAGTAGAATGTTGACAAAGAAAGTGTTAGAAGATATTAAGCAGATAGTCTACTAATACTCTACTAACTGCTAGTTGACATGTAGTTGCAAAGTTACTTGCTGTTAATAGAATGTCTAAAGTGGACTATCGAAATAAAGTGTTACCTCTAATTCTAAGAAGAAAAAAACACTAGACCCTCTAACACTTGCACTCTCTATACTATTTCTATTCTTACTACTTGTCTTCTTTAAAAAAAAAAAAAGAGAGAGAGCCTCTGACACTTGCATTCTCTATTCTTTTTTCTTCTTGTTTTATATTGTACTCATTCGTAAGTCGCTTTGGATAAAAGCATCTGCTAAATGACTAAATGTAAGGAATTTCACATGAGCAGTAAAAAACAATCATGGAGGATTGATGAAAAAAAAGTAATTTTGAGGGAGTTTGTCAGTTGAAGGATTTATGAGATATTAACTTGTAGGGCCTCTTACTGTATCATCAACACAAGGGAGACTGTCATAAAAGGAATCATATTAACAAAAAGACAGAGAAGAGTAACTAACACAACTTTTAAATACCATGAATGGATAAGGAAGTAAAGATTGATAAATGCATCTGATTAAGTTGAATGTTACTATGGCAGTTACATCTTACAGAAAGAATGATTGCTATTAACTGATATCAGTTAAACATCTAATGCAAATTAGAAAAAAAATAAATAAATACAGACAATACACGCAAATGCCAAAGTCTCTGGAGGGAGGTTTGTTAACGCATTATTTATGTTCCACATGGTCAAGTGAGTCTGATAGAGGGGATGCTTTCCACTGACTGTACTGGGACATACTGCAGTGAGACACAACCTGGTTGCAATTGTAGAAATGGTGTTGGATCTAAATGGTGAAAGTCTTTATTAAAGCAAAGCAAAAAGGCACTGAAAACTCGCAACATTATTTAGTGCCACATTTATTACCACTACAATATACATTAAACTATTTTTCTACCATAATGTGGCTCTCTAATGGAAGCTTGCTTTAGTTTGATGTGAAATGTATTTGCTTCTTACGCTCTTTCAAAAGAGGTAGTAACTGATAATGGCCTCGGTTTACATCATTTTATTCTTAATAGTGTAAAACACTAGTCTTCTGAAGTTGTACCAAGGAAGTCGAAAAAGTTGTACGCGCTTGTACACACAAGCTCCTGCCTTGTTAAACCAGAGAGCAAGGTTGGGCAAGGTCAGAGGGCCAAAAGTTACAAAAGAAAGAAAAATGGACACAGAGTAAAAAGACTGGAGCAAAAAGCCAGATAATCAGACAGACTCATAATCAAAATACAAATAAAGAAAATCCAAAGTAATGAGTAAAAAGTCAAAAGGACTGGGAGATGCTGCAAATGATTCTGGTAAATAGAAGCACAATAGGGTGTGAAATGTACCATGAGTTTACAGTTTTTTCTCTGCTGTCAGTTAGGCAGTGAAAAACCAACAATTTAGTTGTACTAATACGTTGTAGACGTCTCCATGGTTTGAATGTTTAGTGCAACCTTTGGTCCAACTTTATATTAAGTGGCCTTAACTACTATGTACTATACATAGTTCATATTGTTCATATTATATTGCAAAACACTTCTGCTGCTATTGAGGTGGGATACGGGTAAGGTTAGGGACAGGTTTGTTGGTATGGGTAGGTTTAAGGGTGGGTTAAGGTGTAAGGGATGGGTCAACAGTGTAATTATAAATGTAGTTACAGAAATTAATTACAGATGGATTTGGTGGTTGGGGTAGGTTTAAGGGTGGTTTGAGGTGTAAGGGATGGGTCAACAGTGTAATTATAAATGTAGTTACAGAAATTAATTACAGATGTAATAACATGCAGGTATTTTTTAAAATATAAGTACAATGTAAAAACATGTATGTACACAATAAGTGCATTGTACCAAATGATTAATTTAAATGTAAGTACATAGTTGTTAAGGCCACTTAATATAAAGTAGGACCCAACCTTTTGATCCCTCGCAGGTGGGCAAACACAAACTTTTTAGGTACATGAAGATCTGGAATTCTCTTTTAAATAAAAGTGGGGTGGCTTGACACCATTCTATTGTCACAAAGCAAGGCCAGACACAACAGGTAAGTGCACAACAGGATGGTTTATTGACTGGGTAAGTGGATGACTGGAATAGGTGAGTGAAAGGCAGGTGAAAGTCAACACAGTGAAAGGTTCCAGGGTGCTTATCTGAGTTCTGACGGAGAGGATCGTATGCCGGTTACGTTGGAGATCGTGGAGCCGTTTCCACGGAGTCGTTGGAGGATCGTGGGAGGAACAGCAGGTAATCCGTTCTAGGATAATTTGGCAGAGAGAGACATCTATATCCTCTCTATATATCTCTATATATCATTACATATCTTCTCTTCAAGCATCCTTACTACTGACTTGTTTTTACCACGTGACTCTGCTGTACTACCGATAGAATGAGAGCATTGTTAAGGAGTGGAAAGGGGTTTGTAATATTCAGTCTTGTCATGTCTTCAAGTAGCATTGAGCTGCCGGTGCTCTGTTCCACATTTACATTCAAGAAAATCATTGTGGGGATTTGCTTATTAATTTTAACATTTACTATACATTTCCTTGTCATTTGAGGTGTAACATGAATCTTATTTATATTATATATTTTTCCCCATCCTTAAATTAATCAATTTCCAACAGTAGTTTTCTGCAGTCATATCCAGTTATGTGGGATTCAGCAATACATCGTCATCATTGTTTTGCATTCTTGTTGGCTTTCCTCTTTTAGGGTGAATATTATTTTATTGTGAATCAGTACTCTTGTCTGATAGTAAAAATTTGTAGTTACTGATTAATAGTTAGTTAATTACTGAATTATTGATTGACTTGTTTTTTTTTTCTAATTAATCAATTAAATGTTTAGTTAATTTCATTTAAATGTAAGCCTGATATCTTATTTAGCACATTAAAATGAGTGTTAAAATGTCCCAGGGTATTGTTACAACTGTACAAGTAATTGGGAGAAGTGTAAAAAACTGCTTGTCTTCAACCATTCAACCATTTTTGGTAGACAGATAAAGGCATCTCTTGAAAAAATCCCATGTTTATTTTGGTCAGTGTTTGTGTACAAAAAGGAAAAATATATTACAATAGTACTCAGTTGGCCCAATATTATCTCCTGCATTTTTCTGCACTTCACGTCTGCTCTAGCTTGTGTATGACTCTGCTTTACACTAGAAACTTGGCATTGTACTGCAAATATTTCTTGCTCTTATGATAAACCGCTTTTGATGCTCCTCATATAAAAGTTACTTTGGATAAAAGCATGTCATGAATAAATGCAAATGTTACCACTACTTTTTATGGTCACGCTTTATTTTAAGGTCCAATTCTTGCCATTAAAAAACATTAACTACGACGTTTGCTTCAATAAACTCCTAATTTGCTGCTTATTAATAGTTAGTAAGGTAGTTAAGTTTCAGTTTAGGATGTAGAATATGGTCATGCAGAATATGTGCTTTATAAGTCCTAATAAACAGCCAATATGTTAATAACAAGCATGCTAATAAGCAACTAGTTAATAGTGAGAACTAGTCCCTAAACTAAAGTGTTACCCTTGTTATCTTATTTTATTATTTATGACTATTTTGTTATTTCAATATATTAGGATAATTCTTGTAAACAGGGTGTATTTTATGCTCTACTTTGGCTTTCTGCTCTGTCGGAGTGTGTTTGCCACACGTAAGTGACAAACATTTTGGTGAAGCTCTTGACTGGTCTGTTCAATTTACAGCATTTCATCCACATGACAATTTTTAGCATGAATCTTGTATGACAAATACAGATATTCCCCTTTCACAAGCACACAAAATACATGATCGTACATGTTTATTGTCACTTTTATTTCTTTTTTTTTTGTATCTCCATTTTTAATATCTTCTTTTCACCCATTTTTTTAACAAAATATTTTTCTGCAGATTTATTAAACAGAACTGTTCAAAATAATTAGTTTTTAACAAATCAGACAGCATTATTACACAGTACAGCTAGTTTAGCAATCAGCACAGACATAAACTTGAATAAATGATTTCTTGACAAAACAACATATTTAAATTATTTTAAAATGAAAGGATGGATTATATTGTATCATTCTGCCACAACAACTGGGTCCCTCTTTTGTGAATAGATATACTGTGTAATCAACAAAATTACATTTGGATGTATAATAAACTAAATGTGACCCTGGACCACAAAACCTTCTTAAGTCTTAAGTAACATGACTATATTTTGTAGCAATAGCCAAAAATACATTAAAAAATTGACCCTTATGACTGGTTTTGTGGTCCAGGGTCACAAATCACATACGCTCTGAAAATACATGGTTAACAAAATGAGCGTCACCAATGTTATAAACTGACAGTGATTCACTGACTTCCAGAGAGCATAGTTCATTTATTTCATATTAAGCTTGATACCTGTTCAACTGATCAATGCATTTGTTGAAATCTAAACACTACTCTGTATTTTGTATAACCTTTCTTTTCTTTGACAGTTACTCATGGGACTCAAAAGCATCGTAAGCTAAGCTAAGTTGATCGTAGCTCGTAAGCTAAGATCATAGATCGTAAGCGAAGTTGATCATAGAGACCATTGGTGGCAATGGGTCTACGATCTATGTAGGGTTACAATGCTCTTTTGGGAGACGCAGCCCTGGAGTTTATGACCTTGGCATGCCCATTCATTAGAACCTCTGTATTTTTAACATGCTCATTATTTTAGTCCAGATAGTTACTGCTTGTTGGTTATTGTAGTGCATTCTTTGATGTCTTTATTTGTATCATTTTTAAAGGGATACTGTTCGAAACAATAAGGCTGTCATTTTAAAATTCAGGCTTATAATAAACAGCTTTTAGTGAAGACTGAAAATCAACACACAGATTATAGACTACGAATATTTTCTGTTTATTCATACATTTTACATAACAATCGTGCTTTTTTTGTATGACACCATTTAAATAGCCTACATGTCCTATGTTATAATTTTAGGCAGTGTAACAAATATACAAAACAATATTATTTCTTACGAGACATAAATTCTATTTGTTTTATAATCCTTTTTATAATCCTCTTCACTCATAATTTCCATTAGATATGTGCTTCAGAGATCAAAATATTATTGCAGAAAACAGCAATTGTTTTTCAAATATGTCAACATTTAGACAAAAACGCAATGGAGTACAGACATTCACGGTTACATGTTTTACACAATACAATTTTACAATAAAGCTCCAGATAAAACTGCAGTAAAATAACTTTGTACAAAATTCAAAGGACATAGCCATTTCACATTTGATGTAGGTACGTATCTCCTCTTAGTAAACATGTTTAACGTGACCAAATGCTTTTCACATGTAGCTGCCTTTGACGCAAACTGTCACCGCATCATTGCCCTAGCATCGGAGAAGTCTGTACTTTTGGGGAAGAAAGGGCCAAAACACCCTCATGTATTTTAGTTTGTGCTACTTACTTAAAATATGGTATAACTATCATACCACAGAGATATTTTGTATACTTTTTCAAAAAAGTATGGCACAGTAAAGTAGTGTAAACCGTTGTTATGGAGTGGCCAGTTTGTGTGCGTTCCTGTTTTGTTTTAGCAATGCACCTATTCAACATTTTGGCACATGAAGTAACTAATGGTCATGCAAATCACGACTACATTAATCACAGGCTTAAGGAGCTGATATGCACTCAGGCTCAGAGACATATCTGAGATTTTTTCCCCTTTTTTTTTGGATATTCCTGAGGGGACATGTAAACAGGACACTGAATTGACAGTACTCTTTAATAATCTGTATAATAATCAGCAAAAATGTTTTGGTGTTTTTATTTTCTGTATTTTTGTACCCTGTGCTTTACAAACTACACACTGGCAGGCATAGATTCGTTTCTGCTTAAGTCTATGATTTTGGTCCTTGGTCTCAACATTAAAGTACAAAGCATTCTAAAAATAATTCTAAAAATGTTTTAATCACATACAAGTATTTCTTTCTTTTTTATCTCAGAAAAGAAAAACAAAATAGTAACAGTCTCTCTCAACACAAATATTCAACAACACGTGACGGGTCACCCAAGGGCTCTGCCGATTAGAAATTATTTGTGCTTCAGACACAGGGCTTGCTTGATACATCTTGGTTTTCCCAAATGACCCAGAATGTAACATAATCTTGCTCAGTTTCTCATTGATACTCCCGCTTTGTCCCCAGTGCAACATAGAAACAGTACATACCTCACATAAATAGCTTATGCATTGCCAAACAATGCACTGTCCTTAAATCTAACTCACAGTATAACCTTAGTAGAGACAAATTCACATAATACATAGTACAAGTCATTTAACATTGACACTCTTTGCTTCACATTTGGAAAGCTTACAGAATTTGTGTGTGTAAGTTTTTCAAATGCAAGTGTTTTTGTGTGTTTTTTTTTTATATATATATATATATATATTTATTTTTTACTTTTGCTTACTTTTAGCTTGATTATGTATGACCCCTGGAGGTAGATGATTCTATTACTGTATAAACATGGAAGTCTTCTGTGTTGTTAATCTTTGATTGCTCTCTGCTGGGGTTCAATACTACTGGTTTTAGACATTGGCATCATTGCCAGGGTTAATTGAAGAAGAACTATCTGCCTGCGGCTGTGGCTGCGATGGTTGTTGTGATTGCTGTGGTGCTTGGTCTGGTTGCTGTGGTGATTGTGGTTGCTGTGGTGATTGTAGTTGCTGTGGTGATTGTGGTTGCTGTGGTGATTGTGATTGCTGTGGTGATTGTAGTTGCTGTGTTGATTGTGGTTGCTGTGGTGATTGTAGTTGCTGCGGTGATTGTGGTTGCTGTGGTGATTGCTCCGGCTGCTGCGGCTGTGTCTGCAGCTGCTGTTGGTCTGGTCCATTCTCCTGAGCACGCTTGACTGCTGGAGGCTGCAGCATTATCCTGATCCGCTGAAATGAGGCTCAGAACCAGCACCAGTGAGCACAGACACACCATACCATTCATTATTGTATTTAATTTCAGCTCTAAATGAAAACAGTTACCTCCTTATATGTGCCCTTCAGGGTGAGGAACATGTAGCCCATATAACCAGGTATGAGAACCATAGAGGACAGAGCCATGAGCCAGCCCACTCCTTGACCCCATTTAGGGAATACATAGTTGTTCATTGTAAGAGGAACCATTTGCACCGCGCTGAAGAGGAACACGCCCTGTAGAGAAGCTCTGTTTACAAATACTGCAGTTTTCACATAATTACACCATTATGATTCTTACTGCTGAAGACTTAAAGACTATAGAAACATTCTTAAGTATGTCTTATCATAGTCGAGGAATGGGATGCCAAAAACTGAGTATATGGGACAAATTAAAGTGTAAAAACACTGGGATCAAATATGGTAGTTTGAGATTAAGGGGGCAAAATCATAGCAAAATCAGTGCAATGGGTCCAGAATTCCTAGCGACGTCACTGCTATCAGATGAGAACACAATTTGAACTGAATTGAGCTTGATAATAACATTAACTTTGCAACACTGTCAAGGGTTATTAAACTGAACTGAATCAACATGATCTGACTTGAGCTGAAGAAAGAAACTTCAAAAAGAAGTATACTTCAAGTTTATTTTATTAAGTATACTTAAATAACTTGCTAATTAGCACATTATTAGGAAAGGCGATTTGCAAAGATTACAAAACATTATACTCACTTCTTCTGTAGATGAGGCTGGGACATGAATGATTCGCATGAACATAGGAGCATTTAAGTAGATCGGGGGCGCATTCCCTTCAGAAACAATGTAATCCACTGCAGTTCAGCGGCTCAGATGTCGGGAGTAAATGACGACTGCTATGCTACTTATTACATCCAACAACAGAAGACCTCAATCGCTTAGGAGTCATTCTTGTCTACATCTGCTCCGGCGGTGAAACAATGGCGGACTGATGACAGCTCACTCAGGGCGGGTCTAAGGTAAGACACCAGTCCAGTCTGTG